CTTTCCATGACTTTCATAGCTTTCTCTGGCCTTCAGTGGTCCTTTCCGCACTTGGATCTCATCTCTGGTTTTATTAGAGTTCAACTCGCAACACAATACTTTGCATTTATCCCTGGTTATAACCAGTGTTCCCTCCAAGCTGAGTTAGTGTAAGCTGGCTCAGTTTTTTAGCCTCCGGCCTTGTGACTGACCCAAGGTCACCCAGCTGGCCGCACGTGGAGAAGCAGGGAATCAAACCCAATTCTCCAGGTTAGTCCGCCACTCTTAACCACTACACCAAGCAGACCAAGTGCCTCCTTTCTCGCTGCTCCCCAAAATAATACCCTTTACCCTTACAACCTAAAGGTCAGCCTCAGCCCCTAATCCACAAGCTAAAAGGCACGGTCTACTGAACGAGAGCGGCACTCTCACACATCCTGAGCAACGCACTTTCAATTCATTTCCAATGCACTTTAGTGACCGTTTGCAAGTAGTTTTTGCCGTTTCATACTGTTGTGACGCGTACTGAAAGTAGATTGAAAGGGCGTTATTCAGCATGCGCGAAAGTGCCCGAGGTGGCCTAGGGACTGTTTTGCTCACAACCATTTGAATTTGGACAGCTTTAAAAAAGCATGCGTGTGTGTTTGTGTGGTGTCAGCGCCAACAGAGACCGCATTTTGGAAAGGCACAGGCACCAAGGAGCTGGCACTGGTGGCAAACCTGTGTGTGTGCTGGCTGTGTAGGAAACAAAGCACAGGCTGCGAGCGGTTAAGCACTCCCTGCTCTGTCTCCCGGGGAACCGAAAGCCCTGCGTTAGAGACTGCACTCTGCCCCCTGGTGTCCACCTGAAGAAAATGCTCCCTCTGGGCTGCCTAACCCTTTTCCCTTGCAAGGATCAGAGGCAGAAGAACAGCACCTTATTAGAAGGAAAACCTTGCTGGGGAGAGCAAGGAGATTCTCTCTCTCACTCACTCTGCATTCAGCCAGCAGGATTATATTGCCTCAAAAGCCACCCCAAGGAGTTGGGGATCAGTGTTCCCTCTAAGCTGAGCTAGTGTGAGCTAGCTGACAGTTTTTTAGCCTCCAGCTCACAGATTTTTGCCTTCGCTCAGGAAAGATGGCTCCAGAGCAAACCAATTTATGCAGTAGCCAAACTGCTCGCTCACAACTTTACTGACAGTAGTTCACAAAGTAGAATTTTTGCTTCCAAAACTCCACAGCTTAGAGGGAACATTGTTGGGGGACCTTGGCTCATTTTTAGTGCCTCCAAGTACCATCCGAGCAGCACGACCTCATCAGAATTCCAGATTTCCTGGCCCCTTGGAGAGCACAACCAGTCGGAGCATGCCGGGCTTCCACTCACAACAGCCCCAAACACTTTTGTCTGGCACGTGGGCTGGGAGCACGCCTCTAGCATGTCGCTTCCCACAAAAACTTTGGAAAAGCGCTGAATACAACGGCAAATTGAGCATTTCTCTTTCGGAATATCTCAGATATTCCCCCCCCCTTTTGTTCATAAAACAAAAGCAAATTTCTTTGCCAAGTTCTGGGCAACGTTAGCTGAAACGTCTAAAAAGGTTTCCCAGGAGGCAGGTGTGGCAGGAACCCTGCAGGCACACGGAACCAGAGGTAGAGGTAACGTCACATAGGAGGCGTTACGCACACGTCCGACATTTTTGCGGGTGGCTGACCTCCCCTTCCCTTGGCACAGAACCTCAAGTGGGTCACACAACCTCACCCATGAGCGTCCACAGTGCTCCTTTTGTGGGGAGGCGGGACTCCGTTTGGGAAGGGCACCCTACGTCTGGCCGCTCCCTGCGCAGACACTGCAGAAGGCAGCAGGACAGCAAAACGAGGACCCTCAGCAGAGGAGAGGGTTGCTCTTTGGTGCAGGCAGGTGCAGAGACTCTGGCTCCTCCCCTGCCTATCACATGACTGGTATCATGTGACATCCTATCCTGTGCGTCCAGAAAGGAGACTGGATTTATACCCGGCCCTTCACTACCCGAAGCAGTCTCAGAGTGGCTTACAATCCCCTTTCCCCTTCCCTTCCTCACAACAGACACCCTGTGAGGTGGGCGGGGCTGAGAGAGCTCTCCCAAGAACTGCCCTTGAGAGAACAGCTCTGAGAGAACTTGTGACTGACCCAAGGTCACACCAGCAGCTGCATGTGCAGGAGTGGGGAATCAAACCTGGTTCTCCCAGATTAGAGTCTGCGCTCCTAACCACTACACCAAACTGGCTCTCAGAGCAGGAGGCTCCATGTTATTGCCTGGCGTTGAAACCAGGATCGGAAATCTGGAAGACAACAGCTCATAGCTCATTCTTACCCAGCTCCCCCACAGTATGGCTTGGCTCCTGGTTCTGTTGCAAGCAGCCAAATGCCTGGATCCCAAAACTGTGCAGGCCAAGGATTTTGGGCACTGCTATCCACAACACTGTTTTAAAGGTAGGTCTGCCACTAGAGTACTCTGGCAATGAAGGAAGCAGGGTCCCAAGATTCAAGCTGCAACGTGTCCTCTGGACCCTCAACTATGCACGAGGCTTCTTTGCAAGAGAAAACAACCAAGGCTAACCTTTTTCTTTTTGATTTTTTGTGTGCGCGCATGGAGGACGTTCAGAGAAGTGGCTTGATCGCCTGCCTCTAGCCTCCTGGCCCTGGTATTCCTCTCCTATCCAAGTACTTTCCAGGGTCGGCCCTGCTTAGCTTCCAAGATCTGACGTGACCGGGCTCGCCTGGGCTATCCAGGTGAGAACTATCCTCCTTTTCCTTGACTGGAGCTCCTGCTATTTGGCCGCCGAGCTTCCACGTGTTTTATCTTATTAAGGGAGCCCTTCTAATTTTGATTTACAGCTTGGATTATTTTCAAATGACTTTGCCTGCCCCGGCCAAGGCCCTCAATTTCTTTAGATTCCTGCCAAGCGTCAGCTGAATATTGCTGGAATAACACCCTCCTGTGTTCTTGTGCGGTTTCCGGAACTGACAGCTCTTTGTGCCAAACCTTTTATTGCCCAGTTATCGGTATCACTAAAAATGTTTATACAGCATGTCTAATAATGCGGCACAGGCCAGGGTTTCTTCCCAAGGTGGAAACCGTAGTTTCACAGGGAAAGGACCACCAGTGGGAGACGTTAAATCACTGTCGGGGAGTGGCTATACAATTTTAAAAACCCCACTCTCGCAACAAGGTTTCGGGAGATTTAGCATATGGAAATGGATTGTTGGCACTAGTACCCTTCCTTTTTAAGCATCAGCCAAGTTTAAACACAAGTTGATTGATTTCTGTTGTCACATATTGGTTTGTGTGGATTCGGTAGTGGAAGGCGGCGCTATTCCGTTGCCATTTCCAAAATTCTCAATGATTTGGGTTGCAGGGCACATCTGTGCAAACAGATTCCCCCTCCTGTGTAATTTAGTGGCAAAAGACCCCCCCTGGCCGTAGAGGGGGCCGAGATGACCAGAACCACCCTGCTGGAGAAACTGGTGGGTGGGAGTGGTGGGGTTTGTGCATGGGAAAACAACAGGGGAGGGGAGTTAACCCCCCCCCCCCCACCCCTGCACCCGGGTTTCAAAAGATTGTATACGGGACAGGTTCAAGGTTCTGGGATTAACCTTCAAGGCCCTAAATGGTCTGGGACCAACGTACCTTTGGGACCATCTCTCCTGGTATACGCCCCCACCTCCTGAGCAATGCTCCCTCTAAGCCGTGGAGTCTTGTGAGCGAAAATTCTACTCTGTGAGCTCCTGGCATTCAAGTGGTGAGCGAGCGACTCGGCTGCTGCATAAATAAGTTTGCTCTGGAGCCCCATCCTTCCTGAGCCAAGACAAAAATCTGTGAGCCAGAGGCGAAAAAACTGTGAGCTAGCTCACACTGACTCAGCTGTGAGGGAACACTGCCCCCGAGCACTGCACTCAGCAGAGAAAAACCTACTGGAGATTCCTGGCCCGAAAAAATAACCAGCTGTCCTCAACCGGAGCCAGGGCTTTTTCGGCTGTGGCTCCGACCTGGCGGAACTCTCTGCCCAACGGCATCCGTGCCCTGTGGGACCTAGTCCAGTTCCTCAGGGCCTGTAAGACAGAGATGTTCCGCCAGGCCTATGGTTGAAGAGAGCGACGGCCTTCCATTGGGCCCGGGCCTTCCTTCCTTCCACTCCCCCTTGGGGTCAGGACGGTCTGGTTTTAGATGCCACCTGGAATGGTTTTGTGTTTGTTTTACTGTTTTCAACTTATTTAAATCTATCTGCGATTGTATCTTTTGAATGCTGTACGCTGCCCTGAGCCCCAAGTCTGGGGGAGGGCGGTTTAGAAACTGAAATTATAGATAAATAAACAACCCCTGCAGGTGCAGCCGCTTCTTGCAGCTAAATTGCCTCTTGGGGAGACATTCAAGGATGCCTCCACATGAGGTCCCGGTTTGGGCCTGTGACAGGAAGCGATTCCGCTGCCGTCTCTGCTGACGAAGACCAATTCAGTCAATGGAACCAAATACCAATAGGGGAATGGGCCAATTTATTTCTAAGGCGTTGCATCACTGCCGGCTCGGGTCCTTCTGGGCATTCCACTTTTAACCTTTTTTGCAAACCGCTTCAAGATGGGACACCATCTCTCTCTCACTTTCCCTGCAGGAAAAAGGGGGGGGGTACTAACTGTAGCTTGGAGTGGACCTTTTAAGTATCCCCCACAGAAAAGATCTGAATATATTTTCACAAACGGTTTTGCGAGTGTGGATGATAAAATCTTTGGAACTGGTTCCTGGTGACCACTGCCGAACAGCCGTTCACAAGGGATGCGTGTCCCCTTTTGAAGCAGACGTCAGCGGGGGCCTCTCCTGCCTGTTCTTCCACCCTGGTCCTGATGGGGGGCCCCCCACCCCTTTGTGACGCTGCAAGCCCGGACTGTCCTGCAGGATGGGGAGGGGGCAGAAGGACAGAAGAAGGGCTGGTGGGGAAAAGGGAGACGGATGCTGTGGCTGTGTCACCTGCCTCCCTTCCGCACGCCCTCCACGTTTCAGCCTGGCAACGCTGCATGCGAGGATCTGAGTGCGAAAGAGGCCACTCAGCCAGACGGCTGCTTCTTATTCCCCACTTTTATGAAGAGGACTTCCTGGAAGACTGTAGGGTCAAGACAACCAAAATTCGCTGAAAGAAAACCCGAGAAGATCCGGGCTGCCTTTCCCTTGTGGTTAATGAAACCCCACCAGCCTTTTGACTTCCTGATACACTGGAGCAGCGAGAGTTTTGGCCTTTTCTGCTCCGGCCTGTAACACTTTCTCCAGGTAAGCCCCGTCTCCTCTGAGTTTCTCGAACTCGCTCCTGATTGGTGCAAGTTTTTCGATGACTGCCTCGGCCACCACCGTCTTGTAATGAGCGGTATCCAGGCCCGTGCTCTGGCGCACCACTTCCTCTATGCTGAGCCCCGTTATGGCAGAGTGAATGGTCACGAGATTGGAGACGCCGGGGCGGCAGTCCGGGTCGTAGGTCACCTCAGACGTGGGCAACTTGGGTATTAGTATAAGGATAAACAACCCCTGCAGGTGCAGCCGCTTCTTGCAGCTAAATTGCCTCTTGGGGAGACATTCAAGGATGCCTCCACATGAGGTCCCGGTTTGGGCCTGTGACAGGAAGCGATTCCGCTGCCGTCTCTGCTGATGAATTCAGTCAATGGAACCAAATACCACTAGGGGAATGGGCCAATTTATTTCTATCGCGTTGCATCACTGCCGCTCGGGTCCTTGTGGGCATTCCACTTTTAACCTTTTTTGCAAACCGCTTCAAGATGGGACACCATCTCTCTCTCACTTTCCCTGCAGGAAAAAGGGGGGGGGTACTAACTGTAGCTTGGAGTGGACCTTTTAAGTATCCCCCACAGAAAAGATCTGAACATATTTTCACAAACGGTTTTGCGAGTGTTGATTATAAAATCTTTGGAACTGGTTCCTGGTGACCACTGCCGAACAGCCGTTCACAAGGGATGCGTGTCCCCTTTTGAAGCAGACGTCAGCGGGGGCCTCTCCTGCCTGTTCTTCCACCCTGGTCCTGATGGGGGGCCCCCCACCCCTTTGTGAAGCTGCAAACCCGGACTGTCCTGCAGGATGGGGAGGGGGCAGAAGGACAGACGAAGGGCCGGTGGGGAAAAGGTAGAGGGATGCTGTGGCTGTGTCACCTGCCTCCCTTCCGCACGCCCTCCACATTTCAGCCTGGCAACGCTGCATGCGAGGATCTGAGTGCGAAAGAGGCCACTCAGCCAGACGGCTGCTTCTTATTCCCCACTTTTATGAAGAGGACTTCCTGGAAGACTGTAGGGTCAAGACAACCAAAATTCGCTGAAAGAAAACCCGAGAAGATCCGGGCTGCCTTTCCCTTGTGGTTAATGAAACCCCACCAGCCTTTTGACTTCCTGATACACTGGAGCAGCGAGAGTTTTGGCCTTTTCTGCTCCGGCCTGTAACACTTTCTCCAGGTAAGCCCCGTCTCCTCTGAGTTTCTCGAACTCGCTCCTGATTGGCGCAAGTTTTTCGATGACTGCCTCGGCCACCACCGTCTTGTAATGAGCGGTATCCAGGCCCGTGCTCTGGCGCACCACTTCCTCTATGCTGAGCCCCGTTATGGCAGAGTGAATGGTCACGAGATTGGAGACGCCGTCGGTGACGCGGACCGTGGCCCACTTCTGAGGATCGGATTTTGACATCTTGGAGGTGGGATCGCGGAGGGACCTCACTTTCTTCGTCTCAGCTAAAAAATAATCACGGGGAAAAGGAGTTTAAGGAGGACAGCCGGTGAAGACACAAAAGTCGGTGACGCGGACCGTGGCCCACTTCTGAGGATCGGATTTTGACATCTTGGAGGTGGGATCGCGGAGGGACCTCACTTTCTTCGTCTCAGCTAAAAAATAATCACGGGGAAAAGGAGTTTAAGGAGGACAGCCGGTGAAGACACAAACCAGGAAACTGCTGGTTCCCAGTCTCCCCTCACTTCTCCAGGGGTCCCTCGGCAACCCACGGTCTCAGCCTCAGCAACAAGAGGACAACAACGGCTGCTTTCACACATGTTGGATAAGGCACTTTCAATGCACGTTAGCAATTGTTTGCAAGAGGATTTTCCCAACAAGTGCACTTTCCATGTACTTTCAATGCACTTTAGCAATCATTTGCTAGTAGATTTTCCTAACAAGAAGTGCACTTTCTATGTACTTTCAATGCACTCTAGCAATCATTTGCAAGTAGATTTTCCTAACAATTTATTTATTTATTTGCATTTTTACCCCGCCCTCCCTGCGAACGGGCTCAGGGCGGCTTACAAAGGGGCACAAGCCCAAACATAAAAACAGTATAAAACAGTATAAAACAAGAAGTGCACTTTCTATGTACTTTCAATGCACTCTAGCAATAATTTGCAAGTAGATTTTCCTAACAAGTGTACTTTCCATGTACTTTCAATACACTCTAGCAATAATTTGCAAGTAGATTTTCCTAAGAAGTGCACTTTCTATGTATTTTTAATGCACTTTAGCAATCATTTGCAAGTAGATTTTCCTAACAAGAAGTGCACTTTCCATGTACTTTCTTTAACAATCGTTTGCAAGAGGATTTTCCTTACGGGAAGTTCACTTTCAATGTACTTTCTTTTCTTTCCTTTTTGGTATTTTGTGTGTGCGTGTGCGTATGTGCTTGCGAGCTTGGAAGTCATGGTGACATCTGGTGACCCCTAGTGGGGCTAGGACATCTCAGAGGGGTGGCTTTGATATTACCGGCCCTGGTATTCCTTGGAAGTCGCCCTTTCAAGTACTTTCTAGGGTTGACCCTGCTTAGCTTCCGAGATACTTTCAATGTACTTTCAATGCACTGTAGAAATCATTTGCAAGTAGGTTTCCCTAACAGATACACTTTCTATGCACTTGAGCAATCATTCGCAAGTGGATTTTCCTAACAGAAAAATCCACTTACAAACGATTGAAGAAGGAGATTGGACTACCCGAAGGAGCCTCAGAGCGGCTTACAATCGCCTTCCCTTCCTCTCCAGTTTGGTGTAGTTTGGTACCAGTTCGGTGTAGTTTAGTGCCAGTTTGGTGTTGTGGTTAGGAGCATGGACTCTAATCTGGGACAACTGGGTTTGATTCACCACTTCTCCACATGCAGCTGCTGGAGTGACCTCCCCACTCCTCCACATGCAGCTGCTGGTGTGACCTTGGGTCAGTCATAAGTTCTCTTTCAGAGCTGTTCTCTCAGGAGCAGGGTATCTGCTGTGGGGAGAGGGAGGGAAAGGGATTGCAAGCAGCCCTGAGACTCCTTCGGGTAGTGAAGGGTGGGGTAAAAATGCAATCACCACCATCACCTCCTCCTCCTCCTCCTCTTATTTTCTTCTTCTTCCTCTCCTCCTCTTTCTTCTTCCTCTCTCCCCATAACAGACATCCTTTGAGGTGGGCGGGGCTGAGAGAGTTCTGAGGGAACGGTGACTGGCTCAGGGTCACCCAGAAGGCCGCATGTGGAGGAGGAGGGGGGAATCAAACCCGGTTCTCCAGATTAGAGTCTGCCGCTCTTAACCACTACACCACAGCTGGTTCTCGTGTGCACGCGCATGAAAGCTTAAACTTTGTTGGTCTTAAAGGTGCCACTGGACTCGGAAGTCTGTCCTGCTGCTTCAGACCAACACGGCTGCCACCACCCGGATCAATATTCAAAGAGAGAAGCAAAATTTCCCCTCAACTCATTTTACTTTGGTATCAGTTCTCCTTCCCCTCTGCCTCTTCTTCAACAGATCCTCCCTGTAGACATCTATTTTACTTGACATGCAGACTTTAAAAAATAGAGGTCACAACAGCTACTCACTCAACATGGTTTCAGGCACTGGAAAAAACTCTCCGTATTTCTTGTTGAAGCGACGGGCAAGATCTTGGGTCAGCTCCAAGTGGAGGACTTGATCTTCTCCGACAGGGACGTGGGTTGACCTTCCAGCAGCAAGGACACACACAAGGGATTAGTCACACTCTGGCATTGACTGGCACTCCCCCTTCACCTTATGAAAGAACTACAGAGAACGAGCTGTGAGCCCCCCTTCCCCCCCCCATACACACACTACTTCCAAAAAAATAAGCTGCTGAGAACAATCGGCATTGGTGCTGGCTCACGTACAAACAGGCAACCAGATCTATGAGTAGTTTAATGGCCCTGACCTGAGCTACACGAACCAGACTGGCCCAATCTTGTCAGATCTCAGAAGCTAAGCAGGGTCGGCTCTGGCCAGGAGCAAGGCTCCCTCTAGGCCAGTGATGGCGAACCTTTGAGAGACCGAGTGCCCAAACTGCGACCCAAAACCCACTTATTGATCGCAAAGTGCCAACACGGCAATTTAACCTGAATACTGAGGTTTTACTTTAGAAAAAACAACTCATACGTTAACTTAAGATGATCCAAACAAAGTAAGGAAAGCAATCCCAAATGCTTTCATTTACTTAAAAATATTTGGCAGAGAATTCCACGCTTTAATGATGGTCTGGGCCTGGCTGGGGCGATGGCACACGTGCCCACAGAGAGGGCTCTGAGTGCCACCTCTGGCCCCCGTGCCATAGGTTCGCCACCACTGCTCTAGGCTGTGGTCCTGTGAGCAAAAATTCTACTTTGTGAGCTGCTGGCATTCAAGTGGTGAGCGAGCGATTTGGCTGCCGTCCCTTCCTGAGCTGAGACAAAAAAGTATGAGCCCCGGAGGCTAAAAAACTGTGAGCTAGCTCACACTCACTCAGCTTAGAGGGAACACCAGTCAGGAGGACTTGAATGGGAGACCAGCAAGAAAGAAATCCAGGGCCGTTATGCAGAGGCAGGCAACGGGAAACCACCTCTGAATGTCTCTTGCCTTCAAAATCGTATGGAGTCACCGTAGTTCAAGAAGCCATCACAGAGACCATGCCCCTGCAGACCCCAGGGACGGGAGCAAGCCGCTGAAAAGCCATTGGTTCTCAGCTACCTCAGCCGTCCACCCTCCTCTGCCAGTCAGCCTCCAGCTGGGAGCAGATGACCAGAGCACCCCAAAACCTTACTTGTACAGAAGGATATCTGCCGCTTGAAGGACGGGATACGTGAACAGGCCAGCCGTCCCCTCGTTCATTTGGCTGGTGTTCTTCACCTGTTTCCAGAGAGGAGATCGAGGAAAGGACATCAGTAAAGGCAGGGGTCATTTCGTAGAAAAAGAGGTGGAGGAGCTCATTAGCATAACTCATTAGCACAACTTATTTGCATATGCCACACCCCCTGACATCACCAGAAGTGTCAGAGGGCAACGCCCACTGCAACTTACCTGGCTGCTTCTTGCTCCTCATGGCCCTGGGCTGCTGGGAGCAGGGGGCGGGGCTTGTTGCATGTGCCCGCCCCCTGGGCTCTTTACTGCCGGAGCTCCGCTCCTGTGCACTCCTGCAGGAAATGACCCCTGAGTAAAGGGATTCTGAGGGGGCTCAGGGTTCTTTCGTCAAGTAAGAGCATGGGTGGGTGGTGTGTCCAGAGTGAAAAGAAAACAAAAGTGGCAATGGCCTTCCTAGTTTAGAAGCAAGGCATAAGCAACCAAGGAGGCGGTTCAGTAAAGCAACACTCCTGGTCAAGCTCCCCCAGTGGCCACTTAGGGCATTACAAGGAAGAGAATGCTGATGCCCCACAGCGGCCCGGCTCAGGGTGCACAGAGCACCGAGCTCTCAGAGGGTCGCTGTGTCCCTCCCACAAGTAACTCACACCAAGCAGAGGAAGAGGGATATGCAAGGTGTGTACGAACTTCCCAATCCCCCCTCGGTGACCCACTGTACCACCTGTGCACCCACTTAAGCAAAGAAATGGAAGAAATAGGTCTGTTGAACCACAGGGAATCCTTCAAACACAGGCACAAAGCCCATGGTGCATTGTCTCGTGCCCTTGGTGTAGTGGTTAGGAGTGTGTGGACTCTCACCTGGGAGAACCAGGTTTGATTCCCTGCTCCTCCACGTGCAGCTGCTGGCGTGCCCTGGGTCAGTTACAGTTGTCTGGAAAGAGCAGTCCTCGAAAGAGATCTCTCTCAGCCCCACCTACCTCCCAGGGTGTCTGCTGTAGGGGGAGAAAGGGAAAGGAGATTGTAAGCTGCTCTGAGACTCCTTTGAGTAGTGAAGGGCGGGGTATAAGTCCAATCTCTTCATCGACTCTTCTTCTCAAATGCCCAAGTCGTTCACTTGTGAAATCTATCCTGTGTCTACTCCAGTAAGAAATTTAGTGCATAAAATATTCAGCATGTCTGCACTTTCCTTTTGAAAAGGTAAAGTTTCCCTTGCTCGAAAGCCAGTCGCATCCGACTCTAGGGTTGCGGTGCTCATCTCCGTTTCAAAGCCAAAGAGCCAGCGCTGTCCAAAGACGTTTTCGTGGTCATGTGGCCAGCATGACTAAACGCCAAGGTGCACGGAACGCTGTTACCTTCCCACTGAACGCTGTTACCTTCCCACTATTTATCTACTTGCAATTTCTTGCTTTCAAACTGCTAGGTTGGCAGGAGCTGGAACTAGAGACGGGAGCTCACTCCGTCATGAGGCACCCTGGGTCTCGAACTGCTGAACTACTGACCTTCCACAGCCTGCAGTTCAGCATCTTAACCACTTGAGCCACCGCAGCTCCTTCTAGATGTACGCAAATCTAAGGTTAAAGGCAGGTTCTTCTTTGTTAACCCTCCAGGGCCGAAATGTTTAGATCATTCAACAAATAGTTGGGGGGTGGGACTTTTGATAGATTAAAACCCACCCTCACCTTAATAACTTGAGAGAGCAGGATGTTCTCTTCCCCTTTTTTTGTAGTTTTCAAAGTTAATATGCAACCATTTACACAAAAAATGTGGGCAACAGGCCCCAGCGCAAAAGAGGCGTCCTCTCACACAAGAGGGCATGCCTCCTCTAAGATGGCACCCACTTTGACATGCCTCCTGGTCGCCCACCCTGAACACGGGAGTCTTCAGAGGAGTTGGTTTGAAACCCCGATTATAGAACAAGGGCATTCAAGTTCCTCTCTGTCTCTTGTTCTTAGCGGAAGAACACAACTTGGAGCCTGTTCGGGCTGAAAGGCACGGTAAGAAAACAGCAAATCACACACCAGCAGGCCTTTTCCGGTTCAGAACAACCTGTTCTATTCACGTGCAAGCGTATTTGATCAAGTCAACCTATTAGAGAACAATTTGTTAATGGTGTGGATCTAATTGGGCAGCAGCATGACTAAAATGTAAATTTAAAAAATATATCCTAGCTCAACCTCTTTGAAGAAGAAGAGGAGGAGATTAGATTTACTGCCCTTCACTCAGTCACCTTCCCTTCCTCCCCCCCACAACACCCTGTGAGGAAGGTGGGGCTGAGAGAGCTCTTTCGAGGACTGCTCTTGAGAGAACAGCTCTGCGAGAACTTTTGGCTGACCCAAGGTCACCCAGCAGCTGCGTGTGGAAGAGTGGGGAATCAAACCCGGTTCTCCCAGATTAGAATCTGCCGCTCTTAACCACTACACCAAGCCTCTGAGATTCATAGTTTCAGACGGCAGCTGTGTTGGTCTGCGGTGGAACAGTTAGATAGGATTTGTAGTTCCCAAGAGCTACTGATGACGTCCCCCAATACATGGAAGGAATGTCTCCACAACATCTGAGGGAAAGCCTGTCGAAACGCGGCCTTTGGCGTTCAGCCAAGAAGGGCTCCCCGAAACCTTACCTTCCACTGTGGAAAGTGCTGCAGACGTGGTATGCTGGTGAGGCACCCCAGAATCCAGCCGAGCTCTGCATGTTCAGGCACCTGAAACAAACCAGGCATGAAGTGATGGACGTGTTTTCTCACGAGCATGCTGCCGCTGGGAGCCGCCCCTCCCCACTTCCAAAGACAAGTAACATTCATAAAGCAGATAGGTATTTGATAGCTCATATGTCGACAGCTGCAAGAATAGTATATGCCAAATATTGGAAAACAATGGAAATACCAACAAAACAAGAGCACGTGAACAAAATATTTGAAATGGCGGAAAATGACACACTGACACTTGGGATGAGAGCCGGCACAGAATGGACTTTTCAAAAAACTTGGAAGAGATTCTACGATTGGTATAATGTAAATGCAACTGATAGATAAATGTAGTAATTTGAGAACGCAGAAAAGAGAAGCTTAGTGGAGTAAAATAGATAATGGATTTAGAAATCT